TTTGGATGAGGAAAAAATTCCTTTCCTTATAAAAATAAGGATTACTCAATATCTAAGAAAAAATGAGCACTTCCTTCAGCTGCTTAAAAACGTGATTCCTTGTACACAGTAACAGCCACACTGTGCGATGACTAACATTGACAGACTTAGCCCTTCTCAGTAATGCAAGGATCTAAGACATCTCCAAAGGTCTCATGATGGAAAATGCTATCCAATCCAAAGAAAACTATGCCGTTTGAATGCAGATGAAAGCATACCATTTGCAATTTTTTCTTCTGTTTCGTTTTGTTTCCTCTTTCTGGTGGTTCCTCCTATTGGTTCTAATTCTTCCTTATAGCATCACTAATGTGAAAATATATTTAATAGGAATGTATATGTATAGCCTATATCAGATTGCGCACCATCTTGGGGAAGGAGAGGGAGAAAAATTTAAAACTCAAAAGCTTATGGAAGTGATTGTTGATAAATCAAAATAAATTAATAAAAAAATAAAATAAAAACATGCTTCTTAGAATGGGTCCATGGGTTTCACCAGATGCCCAACAGGATCCATGATACAAAAAAAGGTTAAGAACCCCTGGCCTAGTCCATCCAGCTTACTTGACAAGGAAAGAATGCCAAAGGCCAGAGAAAGGAAATGATTTGTCCAAGGTCACAAAGATTTTTCTTCCTGTTAGCATTTCAGACAACTGCTGGTTTTCCTTTTTAAACGTTTCTCTTTGTTTTTGGGATGAGACTGGAGGCCAAGTCCCTGACTCAAGAGTCAATGCCTATTCTACCACTTGTGATTAGCTACATTGAACTAGTCCTTATGGCTGTAATGCAGAGACCTTCCTGTATTTCTGCAAAAAACTCCCCAGATATAAACCCTTCCTTCTGTCTCCTCTTCTCCTACAGATTTGAGAATCCCAGTTTCCTTTAGGGGAAGGCTATAGTTTTCTTGTGACTTTCTAACAGGGTCAGACCAAGACAGAATTGCAAAGGAGAGGAAATGTGTCTTAGGATCATAGATTTAGAACTGGAAGGGATTTCAGAAACCATCTTATCAAAGTCTCCCATGTTATAGATGAGGAAATTGAGGCCCAGAAAATTTAAATGACTTGGCCAAGGTCACCCATGTCATAAGAATCAGATGAGGGAGGGATTTGAACCCAAGTTCTCTGACCTTAGAATTAATGCACTTTCCACTGAAGCAATTTGAGAGCTAAGAGGAAAACCAGGGGAATGTGGTATCTCCGAAGCCAAGAGAACAGATAGTATTTTTAAGGCAATCAGGGTTAAGTGACTTGCCAAGAGTCACCCAGCTAGTAAATGTTTGAGGATGGATTTGAACTAAGGTCCTCCTGCTCTAAACACTCAGCCACCTAACTACCCCAGGAAGAGAGGGTATTCCACAGGAGTCTAGTCTACAGCATCAAGCTTCGTTAAAGTCAGCACCATTCAACAAATGTTAATTGAGCGCCTACTGTGTGTGCACTATGCTGTTCTAGGCAAAGGGACTAGAAAGACAAAAATGAAACAGCCCTGTCCTCAAGCACAACATGTTCTATACAACCTGAGCAAAGATAAGTTTCTGCAAAGTAACTTCAAGAGGGAGAGAGCCTGACGAGGAAAGGGGAGAAGGGCAATCAGGAAAGGAATCATGGAGGAGAAGGTACCTAAGGTATGCTCTGAAGGAAAAGATCATAAGGTGAGGAGGTGAGGGGGAAGAGAAATGCAGGCATGGTACACAGCCCCACTAAGGTGAGAAATGGAAAATCCAACTGGAATGGAGAGTGCATGAAGGAGAGTCATACATAAATAAGACTAGAGAGGTAGGTGAGATGAAGGTTGAAGAAAGACTATTGGATTTGTAAACCCAAAGATCATTAATGACCTTAGAGCAATTGCAGGAATATGGTGAGGGCAAAAGTTGGATTGTGACTGGCACATAGGAGGTACTTCATAAATATATAATATAAATATACATAATACAATAAATATAAAATAATATAATAAATATGAGCATTGATTGAGATCAAGAAAAGCACAAGCACTGAAGAAGTAGAAGTACCTGTTATCCTTTAAAAAATAAAGTTTTAGTGATGCCTTTTGCTTTTCTATCACATTCATTTCCAAATATATCCCTATCCTTCAATCACCCAGCAAACCTTCCCTTGTAACAAAATTTAAAAGAAAAAAACCCCTAAATTGAGCAAAGCCTACCAACTTATCATCTGTGCCCAATGGCAAATGCAACTTTCTGACCACATAGTTCCACCTATTCTATGTCTACAGGAAAGTATATTTTCTCTTCCCAAGACTAGCTTGGTCATAATTGCATTATATCCAACTTCATTTTATTGTTCTTCCCATTTGCATTATTGTGTGTGTTCCATTGTGCCTACTGTTTTCCAGTGTGTGCTTAGGTCACTGAATCAGTTCATTTAAGTCTTCTCATGCTTTTCTGTATTATTTGTATACATAGTTTCTTATGACACAGTAACATTCTGTGGCATTCATTGATGATAATTTGTTTGGCCATTATCCAATCAATGGAATCCATTTGGTTTCCCTTCTTTACCTCTCCTTTTTCTTCCCTTCCCTTTTAGTTTCCAGTTCTTTGCTACCACAGAGAGTGGGGCTAAGAATATTTTAGTGTATATGGGATCTTTCTTCCTATATTTGGCATGTATACCCAACAATGAGATCTCTGGGTCAAAGGATCTAGAGTGTAGACATTTTAATCATCTTTTTAATCTAATTCCAAGTTATTTTCCAGAATGGTTGGCCTAATTCTATTGTAAATAATATTCTCCTTGTTCTCCACCAACAATGTCATCAAGTGTCTCTAGTGTAGACAATTGTCTCTTTTGTGCATGTGCATGCACAAAAATAAACCACTTCATATGTGTATAGAAACCACTTTATGTATGTGTGTATATTATTATCACAACAATCCTGCATCAGCTTATAAAAGTGAGCTCAGATTTGACTACAACTCCAATCATGTTCTTAAATTATTTTTAAGAAATGTATATGTCATTATGAACTTTTAAAACATCATTCTAGCATGTAAATAACAGAAAAGAAGATTCTAGATGAACTGGTAAACTTTATTATATGCAGTTAGACTTTTAAGTGTATACTAAATTTAACATGAGGGTTCTCACATTCCACTGCTTATCCCTGTCCCGACTGTCACTTTGTGCTCTACTATGCGCTTTAAAAATATTTCATTGGTATTATTTTCTTTTTTTTTTTGCACTCCCCCCAATTCCACTCACTTCCCCATTTCCCTTCCTTCCTTTCTTATGGTGCTATAATACTGCATTACACTTACATAACAGTTTATTCCGCTGTTCCCCAATTGATGCACCCCCCCATTGATTCCAGTTCTTTTGTTACAGCAACAAAAAGTGCTGCTATAAATATGTTTGTGTGTATGGGCCCTTTCCCTCTGTCTCTGATATTTTAGGGAATGTGCCTAGTGGTGATGTCACTGGCCCGGTGCTCTCATAGAGAGAGATTGTATGATAACAGCATTGGATATATGAGTCACAAGGAGATGATTTTTTGTTGCTGTCATTTTTAAGGATTGAGAATTCCTGGGCTTATTTATAGGCAAATGAGAAGAGACCCCCGGGAAAGGAGAGACTAGAGATATTTGAGGGACCCAGGTCAGGATGCTGGAGAAGGAGAGAGGAAATGATCATGGATGCCAAATGGAGAGAGGAATTAGTCTTATCCTGGAATAAGGGTATCTTGAGAATAACACCATGCCATGCTGCATGTTTTGTTAGCTATTAAAAATTAGACACTTCACTGATTTTCATTTTTCTCAGAGGAGTGTTCTAATATGAAACTGGTTTTAAGATCGACAAGGACATTAAAAAATTATTCGTATCTTTTGTTTTCACATCTCCATTGTGTACTCTAACCAAGGAGCCATCCCATGTGTTAAAGAATAAAAAAGGTGGAGGACGGGGAGTAGGGACAGTGATGCTGAGAGAATTGTGGTATAAGAACAAAAATTATCAATACAGATGATTTTTTTAAAAAAGGAGGAAATCAGTGTTCAAGAAAACTAACCAATACATCAGTTGAATTGGACAATATATACAGTGCTCCACACCCCAAGGAAGGGCAGTACATTTTCTTCTGTCCTCTGCAGAGCCAATGTTGATAATTATAATTGCACAGTTTGTTTTTTTATTGCTATTCTTTTCATTTATATTGTGTCATATGTGTGAGGATAGATAGATGGGAGAGAGAGAGAGAGAGAGAGGAAGAAAGAGAGAGAGAGAGAGAGAGAGAGAGAGAGAGAGAGAGAGAGAGAGAGAGATACACATATATATGTGGAGGGGGCAGACAGAAATGGGGGGGAGACAGAGCGAGGGGAAAGAGGAGCAGAGACAGAGGAAAAAAGAAAGAGAGAGAAAGGGGGAGGGAGGGAAGAAGGAAGGACAGAGAAAGAATGTGTGTGACAGAGAGAGGGGAGAGAGAGAGAGAGAGAGAGAGAGAGAGAGAGAGAGAGAGAGAGAGAGAGAGAGAGAGGGAGGGAGGAGAGAGAGAGAGAGAGAGAAGGAGAGAATGTTTTCTTGGTTCTGTTTACTTCACTCTTTATCAGTTCATACAAGTCTTTCCCTACTTTTCTGTATTCTTCATATTCATTTATTATATTATAATATAGTTTATTATTTTCTTTATTTTTCTTTGTTTCTTTTCTATCTGTTATTTATTAAATGTATTATAATATACAGTACCACAATTTGTTTAGCCATTCCCTAGTCAGTGAGCATCTGCTTTGTTTTCAGTTCTTTGTCATTATAAAAAGTGCTATTATAAATGTTTGGTTTTTCCCTTGTCTCTGGCCTCCTTGAGGTATATGCCTAGCAGTGGAATCCCTAGATCAAGGAGCATGGACATGTTTCTCACTTTGCCGGCAGAACTCCAAATTGCTTTCCAGAATGGTTGGAGAAAAGGTAATTTTCCCCTACTGTTTGTGATTGTTTCCACAGAAAAGTGAAGACACTAAAATTGAGAAAAAGAGGCCATTTCTAAAGGACTCTTCTGGCACATTTAGCCCTCTGCTCACCCATCTCTTGCCCAGGTGGTCCTTGATCCTTGACCTTGGGTAGGAAAGACCCCATTGGGCAAGTGCGCTCCAACTCCAGCCATGAGCTTCCTCCAGCACAGCCTCTCTGACAGCAGCTTTGTGGCCAACTTACCCAATGGCTCCATGATGGACCTGCAGCATCCCAGCACTTGCCCCAGCTCCCCCATCTCCCCAGTGACAGAGAGAAGGCACTCCCAGCCTCTGTCTGCAGCCACCTCCTCCTCCTCTGGCTCCAGCCTCTTCAGTTCCCTCTCTAGTGCCATGAAGCAGATCATGCAGGCAGTCTCGGGGATGATGGAGACTCCAGTGTCCCCTGTACTTGTCATCCAGAAACCCAAGATCCTGTTGATGGCAGATGATGCACATACAGACAGGTAAGCATGCGCCCGAGTTGTTATCTGGAGTCTTTCAGAGGAAGGTGATGTACCTCTGAGGTACTCTGAGAGAATAATAGGAAAACCCTGCCAAGGGCTCAGAGCATCAGGCTGCCACTGCCTCAGAATTTGGTGACTCTGGATACCAAGTGGGAGTGGTTTCATTCTTTGTATTTGTGTCCACAGTCCCTGGCATATAACAGGCATTTAACAAATGCTGATTGATTGATGGAAGCAAAGAGGTTGAAATGTTTACCCACATAACCCAGGGTCCATTGGTTCAACACTCAACACACAAACCTACAAGAAGTTTGACCTTAGGACAAGCGCAGTGCCTAAGTATTGTTGATCCTGAGGTCTAAAAATGATACAGGTTATAGTCTCTAGAGATAGAATTATGGGGCTAGAATGAAAAGGGACCCTGGGGACGCCCCCTTGTTTTACAGCGTGGAACTGAGGACCACAGAGGTGAAGTGACTTGCTCAGGATCATGCAAGGGTTAAGCATCAGGTGCTCGATTTGAACCAGCAACCTCCAAAGCCAGTGTTCTTAGAGTGGCCTAGGAGACAGAGAGTTAGTCTTGGAGTAAAGAAGACCTGGCTCAGACCTACCACAGACACATCCTAGCTATGTGACAAGCATGTTGTTTACCTCTCAGTGCCCCAGGAAACTCCCTAAGACTTTAGGTTGTCAAGTAGTCATTGATATGTATTGGGGGAGGGAGTTACCACACTGGGAGTACCCCAAACTGATGAAATCACAGGCCCAGACCAGCAATCAATGGCCCCATTGTTCCTTGTCTGAGTCAGTCATACCTAGAAGATTGGTTCAGCTCTAGGTGATACAGTTAGGAAGGACAGGAGTACAAGAAACACAAATCTCTACCACAGAATTCTCATTTTAAGGAATTGACAATGTTTAAGCTGGAGAAGACAAGATTTAGGTTAGACATAACAATTGTTTTCAAGTATTTAGAGGCCCTTATGTGGAAAATAGATCCAACTCATTAGAATGTCCCTAGCAAGCAAAACTAAATAATGGTGTGTGTGTGTGTGTGTGTGTGTGTGTGTGTGTTAATGAGCATTTATTAAGAGCTTCCTGTGTGCCAGGCACTTCACAATTATCATCTTACTTTATCTTCACAACAACTTGGGAGGTAAGTGCTATTCTTATTCCTATTTTACATTTAAGTAAACCAAGTTAGAGAGAGGTTAAGTGACTCACCTAGGGTCACATAGCTAGTGAAGAAGTTTCTGAGGCCATATGTGAACTCCGGTCTTCCTGACTCCAACTCCAGTGGGCCAACATTTGCCTGGAAGTTCAAAGAAGGTGGCTTTCAGTCTAATACAAAGAAAAACCTAATAGCAATTATAACCGTCCCCAAGTGAAATGGACTCCCTTAGTAGGGTCATAGGTTTAGGACTGGAAGGGACCTTAGAAGTCATCTAGTCCAGTTTCTCCAGTTCACTGATGAGGAAACAGGCCCAGAGAGAAGAGATTTACCCAGGGTCACACATTAAAAAGGTGGCAGAATTTGAGAATCATAAGAAACAATTCAATGTTTTCAAGTGCTTTATGAATATCATATCATTTTATCTTCACAACAGCCCTTACAGGTAAGTGCTATTATAATTCTCATTTTGCAGATGAGGAAAATGAGGCAAACAGAGGCTGTGACTTGCCCAGGGTCACACAGTCAGTTTCTCATCTAAAGATTTTTAGGTGGAGGTGAGATGAAGCTAGGAGATGGTTCAATGCTAATCGATGGCTAAATAGTTTAGGGGGTTCCAACTTCTCATATCTATTGGGTCAGATAAGCTCAGGGAACCCATTTAATTCTTGGGTTCTATTCCTTCAAAATGCCAGTGGATCTTGTGATTGAGTTGATCTGGATTTTCACTCCAGTGAGGCAGATCAAAATCCATCTCTGCCTATCCCTCTTGTTTGGCTTCCTTGGCTCTTGCCCACGTCCTCCCAAACAGTGACCCCAGGGGAGCCACTCAACATGTTGGTGCCTTCCTGACATCTTCAGGGCACCGACGGAGCATTTGGGCTGGGGATCTATCATCCCTCACCATGTGATCTTGTTCAATCATAACTTTCATAATGATATCCTTCAATGCTCATTATTTCTTATATATTACAGTTGCCTCTCCTACCTTGCACCCGCCTCTCCAAGGCCCTTTGAGTCGTCATGAGGATCATATGAGACATTTGTTAAGGGCTTGGCAAGCACTAAAGCCCTATATAAAACACTCACTATTCCATGAAAACCAGCAGTTCCCATGGCTTATTGAGCCACTACTATTTAACTTTCTTGCTACAGGCCCTCTTTTATGGTCGTGTATTGCTCTGGTCATGGGATCCTAGATCTAGAACTGGAAGGAACCATAGAGTTCATCTGGTCATGTGTCTCTCTGGTTTTAAGATTCTTGATCTAGAACTAGAAAGAACCATAGAATTTATCTAGTCATGTACCACTCTGGTTATGGGTTCCTAGATTTATAACTGGAAGGAACCATAGAATTAATCTGGTCATGTATCACTCTGATCATAGGATCCAAGATCTAGAACTGGAAGGAACCATAGAATTAATCTGGTCATGTATCACTCTGGTTACAAGATTCTTGATCTAGAACTGGAAGAAGTCATAGAATTCACTGAGTTGAACCCTCTCACTTGACAGATCAGGAACCTGGGTCCCAGAAAGATAAAAAGACTTGCCTGAGGCCTCGGTTATTAAGTGGCAGGTCCAGAATTTGAATTCAACACCTGTGATTCTAAATTCAGCCACACTACTTCTCTAAGTAATAATCTGTTCTGCTGTCTCTCCCTTGTAATTCTTGTAGGGGCTTCTAGATCTCCTTTCGGGGGGCTTCAGAGATGATCTAATCCAACTCTTTCCTTTTACTGATGAGGACACAGGCAAAGAGAGAGGAAATTATTTGTTGAGAACACACAAGTAGTGAGTCATAGCAAGATACAATTTGAACCCCAGCCCTCTGACTTTCAGAGCCATTGCTTTTCCCATGATACCATGCTTCCCTCTTTCAAATAGCGGTAGATGGCTACCTAATCTGCATATGTTTAAGGCCGGTCTTGAGTGTTGCATGAAGACATGCTGTATTTTCAGCAGTCCTCCTCTGGCCACATCTGAGGATCAGTTGGGGTGGAGACACGGGATGTAGGACACTAACCGACCCACACATCAAAGTTTGCTTCAGAGATAATTCAATCCAACCATCATTTAGTAAGAGCCAGCTGTGGGCAGGGCACTATCCCAGGTGCTGAGGATATAAATGAGACAATATTTGCCCTCAAGAAAGCCACATCATACTGGATGGGATGCAGTTTCCCCACACACAAATAAGCAAATGGAAAGCATTGTCAATTATATCAAGTAATTTCTTTATTTTTTTTAAATTTTATTTATTTTCTTATTAATTTATTTTTATTTTCTTTTCCAATTAAAAATATTTATTTTCCCTTCTATTCTCACAAATGTACGACAACAACAAAAGAAAAAAACCCTGATATCACGTATTCATGGTTATGTGAGGCAAATTCCCTCATTGGTCATGTCCAAAGATGTCTACCTCATTCTGAATTTTGATCCCATCAACCTCCCTCTCAAGAGGTAGGCAGCAGACTTCATCACCAGAATCCTGCTTTGTTACTGTGTTTCCTAAAGTTCTGAAGTCTTTCGCAGCTATCCATCAACTTTAAGAGGGAGAGAACATTGACCACTGGGAGCAGAGCAAGAGGGAATCAGTCCATACAGTGGCATAGGTAGCCACCCCATCCCTAGACTTCTTTCGTATGTCCTCATCATGAAACGTTGGGAAATTTCTTTTGCAAAAGCTATTGCACTTCCCTAATATGACCACCAGATGGCAGGCACGTCCCATTTTTCTCCCTTTGGGTCAGCCCAATAGATGGGCAGGTTCTCTGACCACCAAGCCCTTCCCAATTTCTTTCTTCCCTAGCAAACATCCCTACATTGTCATTGTCACCAAGCAGTCAGTGACAAGGGAGAAATTGTTAAGGGAGAAGAAGCCAGACCACACATTTCCCATTCTTTCCTATCGGGAGATTAAAATGGAGAAGGCTAGGGAGGTAATAAATTGATGTGGATGGACATTAAGCCAGGATACAAAGCTGGGCATAGCCTGAGGACCCTGTAAGCTTAGAGGAGGAATTTGGCCTCTTCTTCCCATGCTTGGGATCAGCTCCTCAAACCTCAGTTATTCAGGCAGATATTTGGATCTCTGTAGTGGAGTGGGGATAGTTGTGGGGACACTCCTATGTAGACCTAAGACGCTGTCACATGTCTGGATGCTCAAGGGGGGGGGCACTGGGTCCTAGGCAGCAAGGAATAGTGCGAAGTGAGTGATCAGAATACCTGGCAATGGTATATATGTAGATTGGGGCTTAAAGGGACGCTCATTGAACTTTAGAACTGGGAATGTAAGAGCTGGGCAGGAGCTTAGAACACAGACTGTCAGAGCTGGAAGTGGCCTGGAACAGAGGATGTCAATACTGGGAGGGACCTTAGAATATAAAAAAGGGTCAGGGCTACATTCTACCCCCACACCATACTTTCCTCACCTGTAAAACAGACTAAGCTCCTTTCCAGCTCTAAATCCTTTGAACTGGATCTAAAGTCGAAAATTGTCCTACTGCATCACACACATTCAATCATTCCCTTCAGCCCTTTGCACAGGGAGTCAGGGAAGGGGCCTGAGGGTGATGGTGAGAACATCTCTCCTGGCCCTCCCTCCCACTGTTGCCCTTGAAATGGATAGGTTTTGCTGCTCTGAAAGGTCCCTCAGAAAGCATGCCCATCAGCTGACTTGCAGTGGATATAAAGTTGAGGGGTTTCTATTTTTATGAATTTATTTCTATTTAGAAGTGGCTGTTCTTTTGGCCAGCCTCGATGGTGGTGAAACAGCCGCTTGGGGCTACTGTGCTCAGCTGTCCCTCGCCCCACCCCCAGGCTG